GGGGGGGGGGGGGGGCATGTGCCCCTTCCCCCCCCCACCAGTTGCCTATGATATATGGATCAAGGTGCTAATTCACAAAGCCCAGGAGGGGGTTCTGGTTGGGTACTGATACAGATCACTGAGTCAAACCAGACGACTGTATGGATGTGTCTGTATGGAAAAGACAGGGCTAGGCAGAGATACATGACTTGATTTCATTCAGTATGAGGAAATAGGGGGCAGGCACAACCCAGTCAAAGGACAAGGACCAGCTCAGAAGCAGTCCACTGGTTTCCCAGGCCAGGGTCTGGCCACTAGACCAACACAACCTGTCCTGATATAATAGTTACGTTGCAGCAACACAATGTAGAAGCCATCACAGGAAGCAGCATGGCAGGAATGAAAGGTGATTGCCTTCTTTGTGCTCCAGATGCAAGAATTCTGGTCCAAAATGATTGCTTTGGGGCCTACAAGAAGGACATAATATTTACCTCATTCTTTACTGGATGAGCATTAGCAGTTTGCCCAGATCTGCTGGTTCCATAGAGATCACTACTGCACGAGCAGTAGATAAGAGTGGTTAATGCCATACTATTAACACCACTAGAAATGCAAGAGGAAACTCTTTAATATTTGATATAGGGAGAAGGAAAAAAGGGGAAGGAGATATATTGTTTTGAAGGATTTACAGTTACTTGAAAATATCTTTTTAAACTCTGCCCCACACCCTCTATTACCACATGCTAGTGCATTATGCTTTCCTCTACAGAGTTCAGCTAGGCTTTCTAGGAGCTCACACAACACCACTGAGTTTGTAATGTCTTGGCACTGAGACACTGTTCTTTCCGTAGAAGGGAAACACGAGGTCTAACCATTGGCTTGAAGTTACACATTACATTTACTTCCCCCTCCTCCCTCCCCTCCCATCTCCTTGGTCTTCATTTCTGCAGGACAAGAATTTGGGAAGTGTGAAAGGGAGGGAAGCTCCTAAGAGGAAACACGATGGCTAGAATGGGAACGGCAGCACTTCCTCATTACATCTGGCCATGACAGAAAGCCTCAACACCACAGAGCTAATTAGACGTACTGTGTTAAGTGACTGCAATACCTTCTCTAGGAACCAGTCCGGACGACTCCCATTTCCATCGGTTCGAATCCTCATCTTCCGAAGCGGTGCAATATCATTGATCTCCATGACAAAACTGTCCTCCTGGGCTCTCTCAAATCTGGAGAAATGGAAAGGTCACTCAAAGTTTGCAACATCTGCCTTCGCTATTTCAGGCTGACAGTCACCAGACCCTGTCCACACTGAGACTCAAGCCACACCAGCACAATCACTAAGACAATGATCATCAATCACTGTTCTAACTGCACCAAGCTGGGGTTGAGCTTTCCCGTCCAATTGTAAGCCATCATGGTTCTTGTAAGCAAGCAGTTTGGGTGGGGATTATTTTCCCCGAGTATCAAGCCAGTACAAACCCTAGTATAAATTTGCTTCAGATACTCCATAGCATAGCTTGCTATTCTGGTTGTAACTGGCTATATCTCTCTTTACAGCTTGTGTGCAAATTGTAGTACTGCTAGGGAGGGGTTCAAACTAAAATCCCCATCTAAACAGGTTGCCCTCCCCAAGGTTTGCAAGTTTAAGTCCGGAATCAGATGCTGCACAGTGGTTCCCTTTCCTTGTATAAACTATCATACAGTGGAGTTATTTACTCTGATACAATGCATGTGTAGATGCTGATGGGCTGGCTGTTTATGCCGATGGGGGCATGAGGGTGCTTCAGGGCAGGGGCTGCCTGCCTGCTAGCCCTCACACTAAAGCACCCTTGTGCCCCAGCCAGCCCCTCTGCAGCACACTGAGCTGAGTCAAAGCACCCCTGGGCTGGCAGGCTGACCTCCGGGGCCCCCTGCCAGCTGGGGCTGCTCTGCCCAGGCTCAATGTGCTACGGTCCCAGGCACACGTGTGAATGTTGTGCCCAGGAGCAATAAACTCTAGTGCAAACTGTGCTGGAGTTTATTGTGTCACACTAATATTGCATGTAGATGCATCCACTGGGCATGAGACACTCGGCATGCATCCATCTATATGAGACACTACGTCACCGAGCTACAGTGACATAGTATCAGCGGGCACAAACCATGATGCTGCCAGTACTGCGCAGTAGTGTTGGAAACAACCTGTGCAGCAGCGGGACTGCGCAATTCTGGCAGTTAAAACAAGTATTAAATGACTTGGGTCATTAGGGTCAGGTCATTTAGTTGGGTGCTCGTGTAGATGCACCCGCTGAGAACTTTGCAGGGAGCAAGGCTACAGCTCTTCATGTGTTTGGGGAGAGCCACACACACTTTGAGCATTACCACAGGCAGGAGAATAAATAATCATACTATCCCTTCCCCGGCAGCGTACCTGCTCCCAGTTGTGCAAGGCTGTGTCATGAAGGGAAAATACTGCCTTATAACCTATGTTCAGATTATATCGTCACACTGTTATCTCAGCCTGTATAGCTGCAGATGTTAGTAACAGAAGTTGGCATGAACACTGAGGTGTTCACTTCTATACAATCCCAGACGCATTCAGATGTGAGGTTACGGTAATGCCCTATTTCTAGTTAGTCATGGCTAAGTTTACCCGGTGCTTATTACTTTGCAAAACCTATCTTTGTGCCTGCCACAACACTTTTCTGTGGTCGTGAATTCCAACAGTGACTTTGCATTTGCTTTTATGCCTGATGAAGATCCATTCCTGTTTCTAACTTGGTAAAGACAAAAGGAGAAGGAGTAAACTACCAATTTTCATCCTCTCATCATTGTTTTTAAAGCGTTATGTCCCTGTCTCACTTTTGTCCTTTCCAGGCCAAAGAAGTCTAGCCTAAGGAGTCTCCTATTATTCTGTACCTACATCATCTTCTCTACAGGAACAATCCTCGTCCAGATATCCTCACCTGTTACTTCCAAGAACCCAGTGCCCTATGCAGAAGAAATGGATGGCCCAAGTAGGTCTTTCATCTCTTCTACATCCAATTTACATGAACACACAGGATAACGGCTACAAGTCTGAGCAAAAACTGAAGAGGGAAGGGAAGAGCACTAAAGACCAACTATTTGGTACTATGCCTTTTCTAGGACGCTGAACCACTTATCTACAGCAGCGTTTCTCAACCCGTAGGTCGTGACCCAAAAGTGGGTTGCAAGAATATATGAAACGGTTGCAAACATACTTTAAAAAGGGATTCTTTTTTAAGGAAGAAAAATGTGGGAAGCCATGGCTTTTCCCTTGCAGGCTGGCAGATTTCCAGCGTGCAAGGGGCTGCTTGTGGCCCCCCTGGCCCACACACTGTGGGGCTGGGGCCTGGGGGCAGTGGGTCGGGAGTGAGGGGCACTGGGCCAGGCCTGGCCATCGATGTTTCCAAATGGGTCCTGGTCCAAAAAAGGTTGAGAACCACTGATGTGCAGGATTGCATTAAGCTTTCTTCCCCATGCCAGTACTCACTAATATTTTTATTCCTCAGAGCTCAGGGTAATAGCAATAAAGCAATTAATAATGCCTTAAATCTGTGGGAGATTAGACCGCTATTTCCTAATAAGGTGGCAGGCTCCTGTGAGTGAGCTGGTACTGGCTGGCAGCAGTGAAGACTGAAGTTTTTTAGCAGTTTTGTCTACAGTGCTTCTCCTCCTTCACACTCCTACTTACATGATGACTACAGACATCTCCGTGACTCAGGGGAACTGTTGGACTAAGAGGCAGCAGGAGTGTCAGACAAACTGGCAACAAGCGCTCTGAAGCCATGCGTGGCAGGTGCTGTCCCAGGGTGTGCCCCTTTGTGGCCTTGCCTAAAATATTTAAGGTGATATTCTCCTTTTTGGGGGTCTGATTAATTCAGTCTTTACAAAATATGGGATTAAAGGACTTCTCCTTCCAGCCTGGCAGCCTCTGCTTCTCTTCAGCTTCTTCAGGCATTTCACAGCCAGGGCCTATAAGAGGCGAGGAATGGGGGTAGTTATATTGGTCCCCAGGCTTGGGCAGTCCCTAAAATCAGATCCCTCTTTGTCCTGTTTCCAAAATGGGAGGTGTGGGGCCCCCAACCAGGATGTATTGGGCCTTCAAATTTCTCTCAGTGCCCCAGCAGCATTCCTGGTGGGATCCAGGCAAGTGTCCCCATCCCTTTCCAGGTTGTTTGCACTTTCTCAGCTGCCAACTGGGTTTTAGCATGCTCAGGATATAGCTGATTAACACCTAGCTCCCTATCCCCAGCTTGTCTGCTGCTCCTTTAACCTTTCCTTCCTTAAAAGGGCCATGAACAGGTGGTTGGCACTGGGCCCAGATACTTGGTAAGAAAGGGATAAAACACTGTTGTAATAATTGGAGCTGATAGATCTCTCCTCATTGCAAGCTCAGGTGTGGGAAGTCAGTGGGAGTCCATAAAATGTTTCAATAGCTTGTGACAATCAACAAGGACAGACGGGAGTGTGAACAGGAGGCAGAGACTGGATTGCTCCCCAAGGACGGGCTTGTCGTGCAACTCCAGGGCTGTGCCCGGGTCATGAATGCTAAGCGGGTAGAGGATGGGACAGAAAATTAACATAAAAATGGATGTGTTGGAAATTAGGTGAATGGGGGAATGAAACACTAAGATTTGTCCACTCACTACCCTTGTTCCTAGATGTTTAAAAAGGGCGGCTTTAAGAAACAAAATAGTAGAAATGGCTCCTGGGAGATTTCCTAGGGAAAGGCAGACAGGCCGCTATTTTACTCCAGAGATTCTGTCCTGTGTCGGCGAGCCCAGATTATCAGGACTTCATGACCAATGTTTTGCAAAGGACACCTGGCTGTTACGGCTCTGCCTTCAAGGACCCTAATTTAATAATCCCTCCACCCCGTCTCCCTTGCTGTCTTTTCAATGCATTCTTCCAGCTGTAACTCTTTCTCTCAGTTTTCACCTGTTCTGGAGGCAACTGTGGCAGCAGTGCCAGCCACATGACCAGTGAAGCAGAGGGAGCCGGCCAGATAACATCCCATTCCAGAGAAACGAGCCACAATGCAAAGCAATAGGTGTTGTGGCCAATCTGCGAGGCCAGGGTGTAAATCTGTGACTGACCAGCTGCCTTGTGTGCTGAGATTATCAATAAAGGTATGAATCCCCTACCTTTTACTACCCCCGTTCTCCTCCCTCTCTGAGTCTCTTTCATCAAACGCAGGAGTAACGGCCACCCCACTGTGAACCCTTCCTTCCCTACTAAAAAAGATCGATTGACAAAATACGAGACTAATCCACATCCTCTCTCTGGTCAAGGGGGCTCTGATGGGCTTCATTTAGGTTGCCCGGTTGCACCACGCAGCTTCAAAAATGGTTTGTGTTTTGGTTTTGATTCTTTTTCTTCAATATGTTTGTGAATTTTGGCATGCATTTTCCAACATGTGTGCAACGGTCTCTGTTCACGAACTCCTCAACCATGTTTAACTGTGTAATGCTGTATGGTGACAGGGTTATGTCAACGCCTTTGACTCAATGAGCCCATTTATTCCAATGAAATTACGACCACTGCAACTTGAACAGAGCAAGGACACCAGCATTTCTGAGCCAAAGCTACAGCATGTAAAAGCTACTTTATGCAGTGCATAAATTAGAAGTTAACCTTTATGAGTCGCTCTGTGTGCAGCGACTATCTTTTCACTCTGTTGTGAGGAACCCTGTCTTGAAGATACGTCTGGTGACTGATAGCACAAACTGTGTGAATCTCCCTCATCATGTCCTAATGTAGTTATAACATAAGTTACTTCCCAACTTTTTAACCAGTTAAAGAAGAAGTTATGTTTTTGCCTGGCAAGGCCATTCAGTCCAAGGATTTCACCTGTATCTAGCTGGTCATTTAGAGCTACCTTGAAGGACTGCCCCAGCAGTGCCTGGAAGTAAGAGGAATCCCTTCAATATATCTGCAGATGACCAGCGCTGGCATGGAGTTGTTTTTCTGGTTTAGAAACAGAACCAATATCTCATCTCCTCACTAGTTGGGGTTGCCCATTGGATTTAATGCACTGGAAAGCAGATGAGCTACAGAGATGTGAAGGGCACCATGAAGAACAAGTTCATCAGCACTCAGGCACTCCATGACTTCTAACTGGTCTTTTGGGGCACTTGTACACATGACACCATTACCATGTACACATGACAAAAATGTCACTTTGTGTGGCTTAGTGGTGTCAAACTGTACACATTCAAGAGTT